TCGTTGTGGTTTTGATTTGCATTTCTCTAATAAATAGTGATGTTGAGTATCTGTTCATGTGCCTGTTGGCTATCTATATATCTTCTTTGAAGAAATTTCTATTTAGAGCTCCTGCACATTTTTTGATGGGGTTGTTTGGTTTTTTGATATTGAACTGAATGAGCTGTTTGTATATTTTGGAAATTAATTCCATGTTGGTCACATCATTTGCAAGTACTTTCTCCCATTCTGTAGGTTATCTTTTTGTTTTGTTTATGGTTTCCTTTGTGGTACAGAAGCTTTTGAGTTTAATTAGGTTCCATTTGTTTATTTTTGCATTTATTTCCTTTACTCTAGGAGGCAGATCCAAAAAAATACTGCTGTGATGATGGATATATTTTATTAGAAAGAAATAATCAATAATTAAGAGCCTAAAACTATCATTGTTCATTAATGGGAAAAAATACTTTTCACTTGACTCATTTGAGTATTTATTATGCATATTAGGCTACTCTGTTCAGCTAGGAAAAGATATTTTCCTTTACTTTTCCCATCATTTGCTGCAACCAGGAAGGATGAGAAAGAATTTAGATAACATTGGTTATACAGCTGCTGCAGCTCTCTATAGTCACAGGAAGGTGGCATTGTAGTTTCTCGCGGTTGATGTGCGCTGCAGTTGTATTGGAGAGACCCTCTTCAGTTCTGGGACATCATTATCTAGGAAGCATTATCTGTGCCTGTGCCTTTTGGGGCTTATAGTGACTCCTCACTGGTATTTTTTTGTTTTTTAAGTTTCCAGTGGGGAGGGTTCAGTGAATTTTATTGACAAGAGAAAAGACAAATAAGCCTTTGGCTGATAGGAAGTAAGCACAGCGGTAACTTTCTGATTTTATCATTTTCCTTCCTTAAAACCATCAAGTTTGTCATCTGATTGAGTATGCTTGGGACAGTTATCTTCCAATGTAGACCACTAGCAAATCTTGGGTCACTTAGGACCAAAAACTGAACAACCAAGTAACTAATCTCCAGTTCTCTGTACTTCAGATGTGCAGAGAGCTGGTAACATCAGGTAGGGCTAGCCAGGAGGGTCCCTGGCAGTGAATCTGGCTAGACAGGAGGGAGACTGGTAGTGGAGCAGAGATTAAGACCAGGAAAACCAGTGATGGAAATGACAGGTGCTGTGGGCCTGGGAGGTGAGGCTGAAGAAGTCAGGCAAAGCATGGAGGAAGAACTAGAGCTCAAGACGTTAGCCGGCAGAGACCAGTGCCCAGCTGCAGCATTTGAACAGTCAAATGATAGGGCCCATTTCAGGGCAAGGGACATAGCATTGAGGGAGTAAGGGTGAATGTTGATTCTGAGCCCCAGCTAGAGGTCGTTTGGGCTCAAAATACTACTTCCTATCGGAGGTGGGATTTGATCGCCCAGCGGGAGGAAGCGGTGATGGAAAGTGAGCACACCTGCCTCAATCAATGGGTCTGAGGGGATTGTGGTGAACCAGACGTCTCATTCTCTCTCTCTTTTCTTAGACATCTCATTCTCTTGATAGAGTGGTGTTCTAAATGACTCAGCCCACTCATATCCCATTTTTCCCTTGTTCTACCAGTGACTGAAAAAGTCTTTGAGAGTGAATCCTGCACAGATAGTGAAGAGGAGCTGAAGATGAAGACTTCCGTCCACAGACCCCCTACCACAACGGTGAAAAAGGAACCCAGAGAGGAACGAAAGGGTCCAAAGAAAGGGACTGCTTCTCTGGGCAAAGGCAATAGACAGGTGTCCATTACTGGCTTCTTCCAGAGGAAGTGAACTGCCATCTCTGTTAAATCAGAGACGTCGAGTGGTCAAGGGACAAGACCAAGACATACCGACTCTCGCTTACTGTGTAAGTTGATCCAGCGCCTCACCTCACCTGTATCAAAAGACTTCTTCCATTCTGTAAGATTTATACGGCTTCTGGTTTTCAGCCAAAAGGAAATCACCTGGAAGCAAGAGGCAAAGGAATATTTTGAAAGTTGTTATCTTCTCATGACATTTTTTTAAGCACAGTCTTTGACCTGTCCAGAATTCACTCAAAGATAAATTGGAACAGGTTTCAGAATTATCACTGAAGCCATTTTGTGGCTAATCCACTGCACCCTACTCACCCTACACCCTGATCCATCTGTTTGTGGCTCAGGAAGTGATCCTCCTCGTTCTGTTGTATTCTGTGGACTTGTGTGGATATTCTTTTATCCCCGAATTTTACAGGATATGTTTACCATTTCCCCAGCATCCCTTCCCCACTACCACACTTCTGTGTGAAGCGTTTTCTGTAAGTCTTTTAAATCTTGGTTGGACTAAAGGCTGAAACAAAAATCTCCCTGTAATCCTCTTTTCCTCCATTATAAAGTACATCGACACCTGGCTACAGACCAGCACATTACTTGTGTTCTAGCACTTTCATAAAAGCTTACTCTCTAGACCTTTACTTGCAGTTAGTGGTTAGGGAAAAGCCTCCGGCAGAGCACAAATAGAAATGTAATGATGTATTCCACTCCACTAGAAATTACTTAGAGTCAGTATTGATGATATTCGAGGACTTGTCATGTTGCTGACATGGGAGGTGCTTTATACTGACTGCTCTTTGTGACTTTTGTCTACTCGCCTCTCTCCCTTTCCCACTCTCAATACCTGGAGAGGGAAACCCATACAATGAAACAAAGGCTAAAAAGAGAAATCCCTTCTTACCTACAGTATACAACAGCTGAGTAAAATTTCTCCTTTTCAAGGAACCCAAATGTTCAGAAACAATTTTCCAGGAAGGTAACAAGGAAGAGATAAAGCCCATTATCTACAGATGTTGCTCCTCTGTATTTTTAACTCCCCCACGTGCCTAGAAGTACAGGTTCCCCAGGAAGGTAAGGAGAGACTGAGTCATTGGTACATCTAAAATTTTCATGTGTTACTTATGGAAAATCATCTATTCCAGTGATAACTCTGAAGTGACTTCCTGTATGGCTGGACAATAAGCTCAGGGGACAGAGGTGGTGTGGTGGTGATCTTGCACAGAGAGCTCTGAGGAAAGGAACAGAGGCTCAGCTGCTGGCGTGACTCGTGATTAACAGACAAGGGATGTCTGATTTGCTCCTTCTGCCTTAGCCTGGTGTATGTCGTAAGCGAGGCAGTCAGCCGTCTACTGTTTAAGGTTAGGATTGTGACTGACCTTGGATTAATAGGAGCTTCTTTAGCAGCCGTCACCCCATGGACTTGATTAAAACCAGAGGTTTGGGAGATGAATCCCGGCATTACATCTAGGACTTGACAAGGCAGGGGCTTTGTGCAGCAAGCTGAGTAAAGGTTGCCATATTCCAAACTCCTTTCCTTTTAAAATGTAAAAGGATGGAGAGAAGGGTGGAAAGCCTGGACTTAAAACTTTACAAAAAACTTCTGGAGAGGAATCCCTTTTAAATGGTTATTTCTGTCATTGCCTCTGGTCATTTTTCTAAATAGAAATGGAAAATTTTAAAAAGCAACAATCCAGTCTTTTTAAAAAAAATTATGATGTTGGGATCTCTAATAAAACCAAATTTTAAATTGGAAAACTGGTGCTGGTGGAGTTCTATCTTTGAAAGGATAATGCAAATCCCGTGATCACTGTGCCCAGCCCAGTATGCTGCCTCCACTCTGAGCTGTCTGCAGGGCTTAGTAAGTAGTGAGTGCTGGCTGTTTTTGTCTTTTTGTTAAAAACAAAACAAAACAAAACAAAAAACTACCATATTACCCACATGAGTTAAATAAATTTGAGAAGTTTTAAAACAGCACTTCAAACTGAATGTCTGACAAGTGTGTTATTTGATGGGACAGCAATTATTTAATCTCTGAGCAGGAACAAGGCTGGGTTTCAGTTTATACTGTTAAAACTGCATACCCATAGTAAACAAGTTATTTGCTGTCTTCATCATTTTTTCAGCCCTGTGGGGAATCTTAGTTTCAGCCAACCTCATTTTTTAGTTCCTTTAGAAGAAAATCTAGTCCTGATCTCACACATTGTGTTAGTTTGGCTTCATCACTTGCTGGCTGTGTGTGACCTTGGGCAAATTTCTAAGCCTCAGGTTCTTTATCAAAATAGAGCTCAAATGAGTTACCATGGGTTGTCAAGGCTGAAGGAGTGTATATACAGAATAAATTGGGCACACATAGGCACTCTGCAAATGGTGGCTTCCTTCTCGCCGTTGTAAATGATGTAGTCAGTCACCCGCTTCCTGAAATGTTATCAATGATATGACCCAGATGTTATACTCTTTCAAAATCATCATTCTGGCTGTAAATGTGGTCAAAGAGGGAAGATAGTTGTCCTATCTTATGAAAGGTTTTAGAGAGTACATTTTCCTGTTGTGAGAAAGTGAGATTTATAGATGGCTCTATTTACTATTCATTAAAACATATATTGCATATCTATTATATGTCAGGCCTCTGATCTGAGCACTAGAAGATACAATAGAATCCTAGAATTTGGCACGTGTCCTCAGAGTCTAGTGGACAAGATAAGCCAGTAAAATGCAATTATAGCATCAAGTGGAGAGTGTGGTGCTAGATAAGCCCAGGGCCCTCTGAGAGCCCACAGGAGGTGGGTGTTGAGGACGTCTTCCTAGAGGAGAGGGGGCCAAGCAGTTTTTGGTAGGATGAGTAGGATTTTACCAAGCCAAGAGGAATGGAAAGGATTTTCCAGGGGAAGGAACATGGCTGTTGCGGGGGGAAATGGACTATTAGAATTTGGGAATAGGGAGGAAAATATATTGAGAAATGAAGTGGGGTCCTGCTAAGGAGTTTGGATTTTGTTTGAAGACTGAGGGCCAATTGAATTTTAAGAAGGGTAACATAAGAAGTTGATTTTCATTTAAGCATGACAGCTGGCATTTTCTTTGATTTTGTGTGCCATATAGGGAGTGTTTCTACCCATTCTTGTACATTGTATCTTAGTCCTACTAGTATTCAAATTAAAGTTGTAATGGAATTTTTAAAAAATGTCCTGGTTAAAATAAGACTGCTTAATTTGGGCAGTCAAGGTAGACAATGGCAGCATTTCCCTTGTTTTCCCATCAATACAGCTTTCTCTTGCAGAAATGATTTCACTTTTTAAAAAGTGATTTCAAAAGCTGGTAGTTCTCCGACACTCAATGATACAAGCCTCTACTCATTTCCCTGGAAAAAAAAAAAACCCCGGGGGAGGGGGCGGGGACGAGTGGAACAGTTCTATTCCTTTTCTATCTTTGTTTCTCTGAGAAGACATTAGTTATTATACAGGAGAGAGCTGAAGAGAAGGGCCATATAAGGAAACGAAATAGTTGCTCCAGGACCTGAGTGGAGTGAGTGCATAATAATGTATTTGCCAGAAATGTACTCTGTGTCAAGACTCGTTTTGGTAAACTTGTCTCCTTTCATTGGTTCCGGGATCTCAGTATGCTGTAATGCAGCTTTTTACCACCATGAAACATTCTGGGGCTGCCTCGTTCTGTTGTGAGAAGGCAGTATTGCTTTCTGAGTTATTACCCTGGCGGCTCTGTAAATTAGCCCATGCTGTCACCATGCCCTGTCTGAAGGGCACATTGTACCCAAATGACTGCATTTAGGATTGACTCTTGCCACTCCCTGCTGCATGACACTTCTCACCACTTGTATCTGTGTCCAGTTTTTTTGTGTTAAGTGTGGGCCACCCACAGATTGCCACCCAGGCTCTCCAGCCTGAGAAAGTTGGTAAGGCTTCTGATCCAAACCCACCTTAACTCTACAGTTCCTCTTCCATTTTCAACCCCTAAATATCGTCTGGCTCCCACTTCTCTCCTCTTTTTCTCATTTGCTTTTGCCAGACTCCTTGTTTCTTGAGGCTCCACTTTGGCTTCTCCCTGTCTTTTTTTTAATTTAAACTCAAAGTTCTTCATGGCTAGTCCTTCTTTAACTTCTTTCTTTCAGCCTTTTCAGCTTGCTTTCTCAAGGTTCTTATGTCTTTTACTGGACTGCTCTTGAAGAGTGGAAAACTCACGTTGTTTAGTATCCACTTTGGATTATTCAAATGCAAAGTGTCAAGCAGTTGTTGAATGCTAGTTATGTTTCATCCTGGATAAGATACTTTAGGGATGGCCAGAGCTC